ACACTCTCACCCAACTGAGTGTCCTCTACACATTCTCTGAGAGTGCACTCAATCCCCATCTCCAGATCATCAATAAGGATGTTAAACAGGACCTGCCCCAGCACTGTGCCCTGGGGAACAGCACTAGTGACAGCCCCAAGTGCATGTAGCTCCAGTTCTTTGGCAGTTCTTGCATGTCTTGTTGTATTTTGTATTATCATGAACCAGCAAACAGGGGAAAAGAGCAAGTTTTAGCTGCTTAGTAGTGCACGTGGTCACCAGGTTTCCTTCAGTGGGGAAGCTGCCGCAAGAAGACTCTTCCTTTCTCTTTGGTGTCTTGGTCTTGAGCATGCTCTGTGCATCCAGAATGCCAAGTGATTTTTTTGTTTCCATGCTTCTAAGAAACCTTTGTCCATTCTACAGTCAGTAGGAAAGGCAAAAAAAAAGCATTTTTGTTCTTTTCCCTCTGTTGAAGCCAAAATTCCACTGTACATAGTATTTGTGCTTTTGCCAGGATGTGCTGAATAGTGTTTCTGTGCAGGAGAATACAGGATCTGTCTTAAAGAACTTTTATTAAAGTTGCATTATTGGTAAAGCCTTTCAGTCTGAAAATATTCAATCTAATTTATTCTACTGTGTTTCTAAAGGTTCAAGAAGTCACCCTAAACTGACTTTTTTTCCCCCGGCTTGTCTGGGTTTATAATGAGAGATTATCTTCTGCAAAATTAGTATGTTCTTCTCGAGAAACTTTACACATTTGAAGGTGTTTTGACTACTTCCCCCCCTCCCCAAATTGTCTGAGTGAATTTAGTAGTGGAGTTATTAGAGAAATAAACCTTCAGTAAACAATTGATGCATTTCTTCAGTGAAATCTGCCTTTCTGAACTGACTTGCTCCACAGACCTCATTTTGAGAGCAGTTGGCAAACAAATGTGCTTAAAGAAGAGTCACCATTGCCTCTGATCATGTAGTATGGATGACCCTGCAGGTCTCAGTTACAGGAACCTGAGACTGAGCAGTGATCACTATTACCCTTGTATGGATTTCACAGCCTACCTAGGTATTAGCTAGACTTACTGAAGCCACAGATGTCATTTGCAGGAATTTGGCATCTGCAAAAACTTACATCTCAAGATGTTTGTGTGGGGGGTTTGAAGTGTTTTTAAACCTGTCTGTGTGTTTGTCAATTTTCTAGGAATGTCTTTGCTCAGAGTTGAAAGTTAATGTTTTCTTTACTTGTGGTCGTGTTTGTGTGTTTTGGATTTAACTTTAATGTTTGGTTTTTTTCTTTTAAGGGAAAACTGCCCATGACAGGAATGACCATTACCAAGCTAGAAGACAGTGAAAATCATAAAAATGCATTTGAAATATCAGGTATTGACCCTAAATATATTTATTAACTACTTACTCCAGGTTCTGTTGTTGCAAACACCAGGTCTGAACAGAGGGAAAATTCCTTGTGAGGGTGACCAAGCACTGGCACAACATGCCTGGAGAGGTCTCCATACTTGTAGAAACTATGAAGCTCCCTGGCCATGGTTGCAGCAACCAGCTGTGCCTGTGCTTGAGGTCCCTCACAGCCTCAGCCATCCTGTTATTGCCTGGGATTCATCCTGTAATTTCTGTGTCTTCATGAATGAGAGGCCTTGGAGAAGGCCCTTCCTAATGAAGGAGTTCAGAGTATGCTGCTCACTGGAAGAATGAGAATTCCAGAGGCTTTGGAAGAGCTTTGAGCAAGAGCTTTCATCTAGAAATGGTTCACCTCTATGCTGAGAAACTTTTAGTATCTCTGATGCTAATGATAATTGCCATTGTGAGACCTTTAGCATCTCTGATGCTAATGATAATTGCTGTTGTGGGTAATTTCTGTCTCTCATGTCTCATCACACACCGTATGTCCTTAGGGAATTTGAAGGGCAGTGGGAGCAGGGTCTGCATGGTGGAGCTTCATACCTTTTGTTCATGTTCTGGGTCAGTTCTGCCTCCAAGCATTTAAGCAAAGTGATTTTGCCTCTCTCGAGTGGCCAACACATCAATGCCACAAGGCACAGGGGCAAAGAACTGTTGATGGTACATGATTTCTGGGACAGTACCTATGGAGCTGGACTCAGGAGAGGAATGTGATGGGTTAAATAAAGTTAAGTGCAGAAGTTAATCTTTGGTTAAGATTGCATTCCCAACTGACTTTTGCCTAGATTGAATGTTGGACTCAGACCAATTTTATGCCTCCTTCTGACAGAAGACTGGTGAACTGTTTTGTAACTTGTCCTGTGTTGTAGTGTACAGGCTCAAGGATGACATTTTATTCCCTGGGAAAGATAGAGAAGCATAAGGCTACTAGATGAGCCTGTCCCCTATTTCTGATCATTAAGGGTTGTGCTTAATTACAGAGAGTTGGGACTGAATTATCTCTAAGGTTCATTCTGAGATGCTGTTGTACTGAAAATACAAGTTCAAATCTTTGCTTAGTGCTTAAAGGGTATGAGTTTTGGGAAATGAGTGTCTTTTATAATCATATCAGATAGACTACGTTGTTTTTGTCTGGTTTCCTAAGTCTTCTGTTGTCTTATCACCTAGGAAATATGATTGAAAGAATACTAGTGTCTTGTAACAACCAACAAGATCTGCATGAATGGGTGGATCACCTGCAGAAGCAAACCAAAGTCACCACTGTTGGGAATCCCACCATTAAACCTCACTCGGTGCCGTCTCACACGGTAAGAAAGAGCTGCTGTGTTGAAGAGAATGAGCAGAATTAGCTTATCTGCCCAATATACCACCATGGAAAGGGATATTTTGTTGGTCATTAGTGGTCAGAACTGAATGTTGTGACTGTAGTTTAATGGGTTAGAAGTCCATTCTGGTTTAAATTGTGTGAACAAAGAATAGCATGCTTAGATCTTGGTGCAAAAGTTGAACAGGATAAAAGAAAATTCTGTATCATTACTTTTTCTGTTTTGACCAAGTAATAAAGGAACTGTCATAAGCTAAGACAGGAGAGATCAGAGGCATCTGGATCTGATGCTGGAGGATATGGTTTAGGGGTTCCAGCAGTGACAGGTTAATGATTGGACTTGATGATCTTAGAGGTCTCCTCCAGCCTTGGTGATCCTATGATAATGTTTTCTTTCCCTTCCCATCATGTTTGTGTCTTTGACAGCTTCCTTCCCATCCAGTGACCCCCTCCAGCAAGCACTCAGACAGCAAGCCAATACCACTGACTCCTGCCTACCACACCCTCCCTCACCCCTCACACCATGGGACTCCACACACCACGATAAACTGGGGACCGCTGGAACCTCCCAAAACCCCCAAGCCTTGGAGCCTGAGCTGCTTACGACCTGCACCTCCACTGCGACCCTCAGCAGCTCTCTGCTACAAGGAGGTGAGATGTAGCAGCCAAGCCATATGAGTGTGTGGCAGGGTTCCCCTGGGGGGGCTGAACTTTTGTCACAC